AGGGAGGGAAGGTGGGAGGAAGACAAGGAGGAGGAGAGGGGAGGTGGGGTGGGGAGAGGGGAGAGGGGAGGAGGGGAGAGGGGCGGAGGGGAGGGGGAGGATTTGCACCCGGTCGAAAGAAACCTTGCTATCGCAAGAGTAACTCTAGCTAGCTTCGCTAGCTTTCGTGATACATTCATTATGTTGCAATTAATTTAACAATATTAGCAATATAGATTCTTTTTGATAAATCTTATTTGTATTATTCTTAGTGGTTGTTGTTATGATGATTTGTATATGTTTATTATTTGATGATATAATATATTTGATTTTGAAAAATATTTAATATAGAATATATTTCGTTTATATATATATAATTGATAATATTATTTATGTCTATTTTTTGCTATAATTTATTCTTAAAATATATATGTTATTTAATAATTGATAAATATATATATGATTTTTGGTAATTAAATATATTATTTTGATTTTGAATAAATATATATATATATAAATAAATGTTGTTATAGATTCGAAAATATTGAATAATTTTTATAGAAGAAATATATTTTTTATATTTATGAATTTATTTTGATTATTGATTTTATGAATTATTAAATAAACCAATATATATTTTAAAAAAAATGATATTGAATATATTTGAAATAGATTTCGTTAATATTAATAAAATCAATATTCGATTATAACGTTATTATAGACGGAATTTATTAATATATTTATATTAATGTATTTTCATTCTCTAACGGTAAATTATTTTGCACGGAATTCATTTCTCGCATTATATTTATATTTGATCCTCCGATTTGAAAGATATTTATATAAATATAAATTCTAAATAATTTAAATGCGATTTATTTAGAATTAAAAATCGATTTCTTGAAGAATATATTATTTAATTTATGAATATTTATCGGCATTGATATCGTTATTTAGTAAGTATTTCTTTTTAAAAAAATCGGGGGAATTGATAAATTCGAAAAATTAAGGTAATATTTCTAAGTATATTTGATCTTTGAGCAAAAAAAAATTATTTTTGTATTGGATATTAAGAATTTTGAATCAAGAATTGCACTTTGTCACCAATGCAGCGCACCATGATGATATTAATTTGGAATGAGTCAAAGGACATATGATTATCAGATATAATTTTTTATATATTCTTTTGTGTGCGCAGGCATTTCACCTATCCGGGGGCCCCCAATCCTCTTCCAATTTATTAAGAAAAGAAGAATCTGAGCTACCGAGGTTTTCCGTGAAATATGTTAGGGCGGCAATCGCCGAATCCTTAACCTCCTCGTCGACGGAGAAAAGTGGCTTTTATAAATAATCCCGAGGAATTATTGGGATAATTGCCGCAATCAATGAAAGATCGTAGGTTTTAAATTATTAGGGCTATAATTACTATTAGGGAGTGAATCAATATTGGGGTCGCAAGCCATGGATTTACCCGATCCATTACAAACGATATTTCCTCTTTAAAATGATAGATATAAATAGATTTAATCGGAATCATCAATTGATAAAATAACGTCAAAATAATATTGATTATCATTTCATCATATTTAAACCTAAAAATATATAGATCTTATTCCTCAAATCATTTTTATTACTAATTTACACATAAATAGAATAAGAACAAATAAACAAATTATACCGCCGTAGACCCCAAACAAATTAAACAACAACAAAGCATTCCCAAATCCATTTTTTGTTAATTAATAAGAAAAAAACAAAACGAATACAATAATTAAAAAAATAAAGATAAAAAGGTAAACAAAAAGAAACATATAAAAAAAAACAGACATAATAACCACCAAAAACGAAACAATACCGGAAAAAAATAGAAAACAAAAAAGAAAAAAAAACGAACGCAATAACCAACAAGAAAGAATATCAAAAAAACAGAAGAAAAACAAGGCGGACACCATAATCAACAAAAAAAAGAAAAACAAAAGGAAATACAATAACCAACGCGAAAGGAGACAAAAACAGACAAAAAAGTAATAAAACGGATACAATCCAAAAAAAGAAATAAGACCAAAGAAAAAAAAAGGAGCAGAAGGGAAATAAAACGGCCACAATAACCAACAAGAAAGGAAATAAGAAAGGAGACAAAAAGAATCAGAAGGGAGACAAAACGGACACATTAATCAACAAGAACGGAACCAAGAAGGAAGTTAAAAAGAAGCAGAACCGAGACAAAAGAAAAAACAAAAAAATATGGCGGGCACTTTAACCCACAAAAAAAAAAACAAAACCGGAAACAAAGAAAGAATGAAGGAAAACAAAGCGGACACAATAACCAACAAGAAGGGAAATAAGAAGGGAGACAAGAAGGGAGACAAAAAAAATAGAAGAAAAATATAAAAGACATCGACAGAAAGGAGACTAAACAGACACACTAACCAACAAGAAAGGAGACAAGACCGGAAACAAAGAGAGACAAGAAGGGAGATAAGGCGGACACAATGACCAACAAGAAGGGAAATAAGAAGGCATACAAAAGGAAACAGAAGGAGATAAGACGGACACAGTAACCATCAAGAAGGGAGACAAGAAGGAAGACAAAAGGAAACAGAAGAGAGACAAGACGGACACAAGGACCAACAACAACGGAAACAAGAAGGAAGAGAAAAGGAAACAGAAGGGAGACAAGACAGTCACAGAAGAGACACAAGACCGGAGATAAAAACAAACAGAAGACAAACGAGGCGGACACAATGACCAACAAAAAGCGAAGCAACAAGGAAAAGAAAAGGAAATAGAAGGGAGACAAGGCGGACACAATGACCAACAGGAAGGAAAAGGCAGACAAGAAGGAAGACAAGGCGGACACAATGACCAACAAGAAGGGAGACAATAAAGGAGACGAGAAGGGAGACAAAACGAAACAGAAGGAAGACAAGACGGACACAATGACCATCAAAAATAGAAACAAGACCGGACACAAAGGGAGACAGAAGGTAAACAAGGCGGACACAATAACCAACAAGAAGGGAGACAAGAAGGAAAACAAAAGGAAAGAAAAAGCGCATATTATGACCAACAAGAAGGGAAACAAAACCGGAGATAAAAGGAGACAGAAAGGAGACAAGGAAATACTACATAGCCAACGGAAAAGGGCCAGCAGTGACAGAAAGGGCGGACACATCTTAAAGAAGAATTAAGAGCCCCTAACAGTAAATTGTTCGGGAATGAATAGAAATGCTACATCTCCAGCAGAAAAGAGGGGACACCAGCAATAACAGATCTAGGAGACAAAATGTAATATTACATGGCCAACGGAAAAGGGCTAATCATTCCCAATAACAGACCTGGGAAATAAATAATCAAAAATACTATATAGCCAATGGAAAGGGGCGGACACCAACAACGACAGACGTGCAAATTAAATATTTAGAAATATTTATTACATAGCCAGCGGCAAAAGACGATTATCAATAATAATAGACCCAAGAAATAAATAAATTAAAAAATTACGTAATCAACCAAACAAAAAAGAATATCAATAATAAATCTAAAAAATAAATAAATAGAAATGCAATATAATTTCATCAAAAAAAAATAATAACCAACAATAACATAAAAAATTAAAATCCCTAACAATAATTAATTAAAAAAATACAATTTCTAAAAATAATATGTATTTATATATTTATATATAGTTTTTTTTATTATTAAATAAATTCAATAAATATTTTTGCAAATAAAAATATATTTAAAAAATAAAATATATTTACTCAACCAATAATTTCAAATTTATTTTTATAAATTTTATAAATATAATATTTAATAAATTATATCCCCAAAATTTAATATCCTATTTCCTTATATTTTAAATTCTTCCATATATTTAATTCAATTATTAAATATTATATATATATAATTATATAAATATATTTTTATATATAATAAATAATATATGTTTTAAATATAAAATATTTTAATATAAAAAATACAAAATCATAAATTTATTTAAAATTCATTCAAATAAATATCGATTTATAATATATTTATTTAAAAAAATATTTTTAATTTAAAAAAAATAATAATATTAATAAATATATATATATATCATAAATTAATATATTACAAAATATTAATTAAAATATATATATTTAATTTGCCGTTTATATGAAAATATATAAATTCAAATATTTTTCAAAAATGCAAAAATATATATAAATATATTCCAAATATTTTTTTATTAAATAGATATTTAAAATATATTCCTTAATGATAAATATGATATATATTTTTTTAAAATCATTGGCAAACATATTGAAGGACAATTCCTACAGAAAAAAATATAATGTATTTGAAATGAATGGCTCTAAACGACACAAGGCCTATAAAATCGAATATTGCGGGATTGTTTTCAAGCCAACACGAAAACACTAGGATTCCGAGCTTCTTTCACCACCCCTTGCCGGAACCTCAAGCGCGCAGACATACTCAACCAGACGCGAAAAAATCGCAAAAGTTTCGGTGTTTCGATTCTGGTCTCTGAAGTGTTCCAATTCAGGACCGTACCTCCAAAGCCGCTGCCGAAAGGACCTGTCTGAAAGAACACCAAATCAAAAGAGGAATAGCTTTTTAAGAGTCAGGATGGAACAGCCATCAACTCAACAACACCGAAGGTCCCATTTTTGTTGATCCATATCACGCCAGGGTTCACGTGGGCTTTGCTTAGATGCCAGTCAAGTTGATAGCCTGTCGGCCCTGCTGACGTAACCCCTCAGAACGGAGTGGGGCGCCAATCCTGGAGTCAAGTCTTGGCATCTGCCTCTGCGCGCTTGTACTGGCATTGCTGGAACCAGACAAACATGAACGAAATCACATCGCTGCTTCTGCGCCCAGGCGCAGACCGTTCAGCGCTGAAGCCGCTGTGCCCCGTCGGCGGGCCCACAGGTCACGACTCTTGCCCTTGCCCTTGCCCATGCCTGCGCCGTCGCACTTCGTGCGGCGGTGAGCTGGTCGCCCAAGCGCCGGTTCCACAACATCCAACTTGCCAAGCTGGAACCGAGTGGCATAATGACGTCTTGTCCAAGGCGGCGCCTGGCCCTACGTCCAGGCCAGCCTTTCGGAGTTCCAATTCATAAGCGCGAAAACCAGCCGACAATTTGCGAGAATCACCAACCATGGAAGCAATGATCCCAGAGCGATTTGCGCGCAGGGACTTCACGACCGCCCAAGCAGCACTTTGCCCACTTGGAATCCTGAGAAATTTTGGAGCCTGGGCCCGCACTGCAAACCTCACAGACGAACCCTCCAATTGGGTCAAATGTAGTAGCCACCAAACTTCTGCTGGGGGCTTCTTTGTCACGAAGGGTGCCTTGCAGCTTCCACCGCGGACCTCATGGTGACATGTCCGGCGGTCTGGATTCCAGATCAAGCGCCCTTGCCCACTTGCATGTCTTCACTTGCGTCGCGCGCTGGGTTTTGGCGCTCTTCCAGGCACTCACCGACTCACCGACAAATCCACCTTTGCGCGAGCGGCCAAGTTTCACCCCAGTTCCAAGCCATGCTGCTTCAAAGCCGAACGAATACCAGCTGAAGTCTCATCCAAACACGCGAAGCTGAGCAGAGTATCAAAGCCACCTTTGTAGATCTCGTTCTGCGCGTTGGCACTGATACCGGCTTCATCCATCAAGAAAAGCACGGCTTTTCGCTCCCTTCGCCCAAACCGGCGCCTGCAATTTTTGCAAAAGCATTTTGGTTTGTCCAACCACATCGCCGTAGTCAGCCATGGATTTACGCACACCTTCACAATCAGAGTGCGGCAGAGGTAAAAAGAAATCGTGGTCGAAATTCATATCAGCATGTCTTAGGCCTATCGAAAGCCAAGAAGGCGCCATGAGAAAGGCAGATTTGCTTACAAACGCCGGCAGGTGACACCCACTTGCCTGGACCAGTTGTCCTTGTGCATTCCAAGCAGCACTCATCCACGTTGAGTCCACCACAATTGAAGCTTTCAGGCCGGACAAAACGTGTGAGCGAGCAGCTGTCCACAACTTCAGAAACTTATAGAACGCCAAGCCCGAGCATACAATGGCTGGGAAGAGTCTATGACCAGCATCTCCGACGCGCCAAGCAATTTTCAAAGGGATGAGCTTCACTAGTAAGCGCGCAACGCGCGCCATTCCCTGACTCTGTCAGCTCTGCCATTTCCGAACGCCAACGTCTAGGCTCAGTTGCCTCCAGCGTAGCGTGATTGTTCAGATCGTGTTGTTGCCCGATGCGAAATTTGCAAATCACACCTGCATCTTACCCCTGACTGTTTTCGCAGCCATGATGCAGTGTTCTGCAACCCCGGATCTAGCAAGGCGAGACGGGCAACTTTCTGCATTACACGCAGCTGCTGTAGCGCACGGTCCAGCCCAGCACAGCGCTTGATGGGCCAAGCGACCCTACAACGAGCACGTATTTACAGTTCGGTGAAGATGTCGCACGCAGCTTCGCGTTCTTCAGAATCAGTGGGCCCAAACAATTTACCAATTAGCTTGCCCAGTTCCGTGCGATTGTCAATCAAGAACGCAAGGACCTCGTCTCCAGGCTGTGCACCGCCAGCTTCTCCTAGCTTTGCCCGATATTTACGCGGCAATCTTTTCCACAGCTGCCTCTCGCTGCCATCAGCCAAATGACCTGTCTCCCATAACAAAAGAAGGAAAAACAAGAGCAACCAGCAAGCAATCCACTTGCCAAGTCCCAACCAAACCGCGCACGGACCCACCAAAACACTAGCTGTGGCTAACGGATCACTCTTAGTGACCAGTAGGTCAGTCTGCATCTTGGGGCGGGGAAGATCCAAATCGGTGTGCTAGGCTTGGGTCCCACCCGCCTCCAGGCGGTCGAGGCGCCTGATCGGAAAGAAAAAGCTCAGCCTTGTCAGTGGTTGCATGAAACTTTCCAACATCGTCGATCAAGGGTGCGCATGCAGGTACAGAAAACACGGGCTATTCCCAAGCGTCGCCGACCTGAACCAGTGAGAAGCGTCGCTTCTCTAAAGCGAGAAAAGCGTTGAAAAGCCTTGTCCACATGGTGCTGGTGAGCTGGACACTCCAGCTACGAGTAGGACAGTTTCCACGCAACACACATGATCGAACAGTCCCATGTTCCCAGCGATCGTCACCACGCTGCCGCGACGAACGCCTTGCTCCGTTCGCGCCTGTCCGCCGAAGGGGTTCCCGGCGACTCCGCCTGACCGTGAGCTGAATGGCTTCCACTTCTCAAGCGTCAAGCTGGTCTAAGGTTGGGTATATACCAAGAGCTTGACTTGAATGGTTCGATAGCGCCTCCCTTCCCGAAGCCTCCAGCGGCTGGACCTGAAAAAAGACACTGAGGTGCGGTCGAGTTCAGTCGAGTTCGGTCAACGAGGCGAGTGTAAGAAGGACAGCTCGTTTTGCTACCTGCTACATCATCTCCGCACTCCGGACCTCCTAAAACAAGAGGAGTAGCGGAGTAGCCCAATAAATCAGAACGGAAAAAGTAAACCCAACAAAATGTCACTCAGAACTCCACCAAACACCCGCTTAACATGGCTTGATGGTCGATGGTTTTCATGGTTTCATGAGTGACATCGATCGCCTCCCCAGCTCGCTCCACTGGGTGCACTCGATCCACCCCAGGCTCCACCGGCTCCACCGGCTCCACCGGGCGGTGGCCCAGGCGCCGGCGCCTTAGGACATCGGGCGACGCGTGGCGACGCGTGGCGATGTGGTTCGGTCTGGCGAGACGAGTCAGCTGAGACCACCCGCTCCCCATGAGGAGGGCCCACTGGAGCCACCTCCTGGGGAAGAAGACCAACGCTTTAGAGGTCGTCACAGTAAGACAGTCCCAACTGTCCTCTTTTGGAATTCTTCCACCGTTTTGATCGCAAGCCCTTCCAACCTATGGTGTTGCTAAGACCATGTCTGTCCTGGTCCGAAGCCTTTGCCCTTGCCTGGCTGCAAGAATAAGACTGTCGCAACCAAAATGATTTTTTAAGAAAATACAAAATAACTTCCTTCGATTGCCATCTCTAAATCAAATGCATTAGCAAGCTAATCTGTCCGATGAAACAGGAGTCGCTCTCAAAGTCAAAAAAGTCTTTCACCTCCCCCATCGGACCTCCAAAGCCGCTGTCGAAGGGGCTGGAGTTTCCTCCTGATGTGACAATTAGAAAAGCGCAGTTGGCCAAGACTGCCTGTGCCAAGCTCGGCCCAACTCGGCCAAGCTCTCTGAGTGGGCCTGTTGAAGCAATTCCGCTGCCGAAAATTAAGGGTGACCACTTAGGTCCTTCTTCCAGATTTTTCAGTACCCCCCTGGAACCCTTAGCTACTAGGAACAAGTGCCACGCTAGTAGAAACAGGTGCCTTACTAGTAGTAACAAGAAGCTTCCTTCAGAAGGAACGACGCTCCCGGTTCGCTCCCGACGCTGCCTCCGACGCTGTTCCCGCCCGTTCCGACCCGCAACGGCTCGGCCTGGAGCGCTCCCAAACGGCCGAGGTGCCTCGGCGCCGAAGACCATCGACCCAACGGCCGTGGTGTGTGCCTTTACGACTCGCTGGCTTAAGGAGTCGTAACCGTCATGACTCTTTTCGTGCTCTAAAATACCACGCCTGGCTTCCAAAGCCACCGCCTCCACCGAAAGGGTTCCCTCCGCCTGCAAAGGCAGAGTCGAAAAATGTCATTTGTGATGGACCACAAACACATCCAAACACACCATATGTCAGACAGGACAAGGGCTTGACAGAGCAAGAAAAAAGGAGATGCGGAAAAAACAGAGAAGAGAGAAGAAAAAACGACAAGTTGGTGAATGTCTCTTGAACTGCTGTTGTGGCCTCCACCAGTTGGGGTCGATCCAGCTGCCTTGGAAGGAGAAAAGGAGGAGCCCGTCTATACCCACTCCAGAAAATATCATGTCATTGGAGCTTCTCCAGGTTTCTTATCAGTTCTTCCGTGCTTCGTTGAGATCAATTCATCATCCCATGAGAGGAAGGCCGTTTTCTTTGAATCTGGGGCCCAGACGGAGCCGTATGCCGAACTGACAAATGGATCAAGAACAAAGCATGATAACCAAAAAATCATCATTGCCACGACGGAAGCCGTGTCACAGAAGACGCACTCAGACTTCGGCACCGACGCAATTCATGAAAGCTGTGGTTCGCCGTGGGCGTTCGCCACGCGGCGTTCGCGTGTGTTCACCCCACGTTTGGGCGGTCGCACCTGGATCCCCACGCATTCGGGGCTGAGGCCTGACCGCAGCAGAGTGCTCAGCACAACACGCAGATCCTTCACCCGTAAAAAAGGCAGTTGTTTGCTATATTGCAAGTTGCATGACGTGTGATCTGTTTCTTCGGTCACACCCGGGTCACGCGCCTGGGATCCGAAGGGGTCACCTTTGGACCCGGGTCCTGCCGTTTTTTTCGGTTTTTGCGATTAAAAAATTGCTACAAAATGAATAATGGTTCAATAAGAATGAATATGTAAGTAAATGGATTTGATATAAATGATTGAATAAGAATGGACATGTAAGAAATGGTGGGAGACAGTGAACTTTGAACTCGGCGTCCTCCCTTGCCAAAGGCGCCCAAGGGGGCACCGGCATTCTGTCCGCCTGCCGGTAGAAAGGGTGAAGAAAACATGCGTCGACCAAGGCACGACGTCGACTGGTGTCTTCCAAGTTGGTTTGGAACAGTTCCGAGCAGTTTGGAACAGAGGAAACATGAGGAAACTGCTTTCACATGCTGTCACATGGTTCCACACCGACTGCTTTTCCCGAAAGCATTGCGAAGGGTTCTTCCGGAAATCCATTGAACACTGACACTTCGACACTTACACTTACACACTGACACTTCCACTACAGTCGCACTACATACACTGACACTTCGACATTGACACTTACACATACACACTGACACGCGGCAAGCATGCAATGAGTAGGCAAGTGTGAGTATGGAAAACTAGCACGGGAGATGTCCTAATGAAAAAACATTTCCCCACTTTATAAATTCTCTCTTAAAGGCGGAGGGCGGGACGAACAGCGTCAACCGAAAGTGCAACCCTCTGCGGAGATCGTGCGTGTCGAGTGCGCGAAATGCAGGCGAGAGTGCGA